AGTATGAGACAGGAAGATTTCCAGTCCATAAACACTAGAACACAGATCTCAAATTTACTATCGTTTCTTATTCCTATTGCATTCGTGTGTGTTTGCGAATGTATTTTGGATGAGACACACAGCTGAAGTACAGCAGGTGTGAGATGACTCCAGTCACTGACACACGTGTCTGTAATGCAAGATCCACCTGTGTGGAAGAGAGAGAGTAATTATACACTTAATTTATTACCTTCATTATCTTTGATGAGATGGGAAGCAGTTTATGGTTCAGCTACACTGGCCACACATGCAAACACGTGTGTGTTTGTGTGTGTGTGTGTGTGTGTGTGTGTGTGTGTGTGTGTGTGTGTGTGTGTTGTCAAAGCTTGTTGCCAGGTTACAGTCGTGTTAAAACTGCCATAAGCAACAGCAGAGTGAAATTGAGTGAGAACAACTCACAAAATTCAGTTCAGAAAACAAGGGTGAGTCAGCACATTGTGGAGCAAATTGAGGTTTTAACAGTACAACCATCTCAAATATAAAAGAAGTACACATCTAGAGGACATCCACTTATTCTGGTCAAAAACCACTAAAGAGGCTGTTTGATTTACATATACACTGCCGTTCAAAAATTTGGCATCAGTAAGATTTTTTTATGTTTTTTAATGGAGTCTCTTATGCTCATCAAGGCATAAGAAAAAATAGTAATATTGTAAAATATTATTGCAATTTCTAATTTTGGTTTCCTCTTTTAATATACTTTAAAATATTATTTATTTCTGCAAAGCAACACTGAATTTTCATAAGCCATTACTCCAGTCTTCAGTGTAACATCATCCTTCTGAAATCATTGTAATATGCTGAATTATTATCAGTGTTGAAACTGTTGTGCTGCTTAATATTTTTTTGGAATCTGTGATAGTTTTTTCTTTGATTCTTTGATGATTAAAACGTTAAAAAGTACAGTGTTTATTCAAAATAGAAACCATTTCTAACCATATAAGTCTTTATTATCACTTTTTATCCATTTAACACATCCTTGCTGAATAAAAGTATTAAAAAAAGAAAAATAAACATTTTCTGACGCCAAACTTTTTTATAGTAGTGTATATTTTAACACAAAATTTCTATTTTGAATAAACACTGTTCTTTTTAACTTTGTATTTATCAAAGAATCCTGAAAAAAGTATCACAGGTCCCCAACATTGATTATGAATCAGCATATTAAAATGATTTCTGAAAGATCATGTGACACTGAAGACTGTAGTAGGATTTCTGAAAGATCATGTGACACTGAAGACTGGAGTAATGATGCTGAAAATTCAGCTTTGCTTCACAGAAATTAATTTTATTTTAAAGTATATTAAAATAGAAAACTGATATTTTAAATTGCAATAATATTTCACAAAATTAATTTTTTTTTCTGTATTTATCAAATATATACAGCCTTGATGAGCATAAGAAACTTATTTAAAAAACATTAAAAATCTTACTGATCCCAAACTTTTGAATGGCAGTGTATTTCTACCAACTAAGTTTGCTTTTTATTGGACTTTTTATGGGAACAGAAAAGGTGAAACTTTTGGGGGGAAAAAAATTTATGAATTACTTGTTTTTCTTCCTTTCTTGTCATCTTGCATAAAGGTTATACATTTTGTAAGTAAACAAAATTGTCATTTTGCTTCTCAGGTAAATACATCTTTAAGGATGTTCAGATATTTTTTTTAGAAAAACAAGACAAAATACTGATTAGGACAAAAATGGTTTGCACATACATGTGTAATACTGAGTTTGCAGTGTAAACTTCATGGTCATAAATTCATTTAGTGTTTGTTTAGTAAATATTTTGGCCCATTAAATGAAGCCATTTTGCCATGTGCAGTTTCCGCAAGCAGTGCAGAAATGTGATTTTATCAAATCTAATAGATTTTAGTTCTATCATTGAGTACAGATCCGACTCGCAAAACCAGACAATCAAATGGTCATTTTTGCAGATGCATCAGGTGGTCGGCGAACGAAACTATATAAGGTCCGTCTGTTGCACGTATCACATCTGACACCTTTGAGCAACTGAATCCCCTTTCCAGAACATTCTCGCTCATAAAAACAGTGACGGGTGGTGAATATGCTGGCGTAGAAGTTTTAGCACAAAACAGTAAAATCTCGCCTTCAAAAGGCAAACAAATAATGCAATCCAATTTCTCTTATGTTTGAGACTGTGATGAAATCAGCCAGCCTTTTTCCCCTTAAATCTACCAAAGGTATTGTGCAAACACCTTGAAATATGCATCCTTGAATGTGTTAGCTTTTTTCCGTCTCCCATCTGGTCGCTAACGCTGCAATATTAAAATGCTAATGGGCCGCCGGACAGACGCTGAGAAAGGAGAAGTTGATTCCATCTTTCACGGAGCCTGAGAGAGACGTACTAACTCTTTCGGGCAAGAGCGCTGAATCATTGCCTCTATTTAAAAGCCAAAGGTGATGTAAAGACAAAAGAAACGCATTTTAAAGTCGAGTTTTGCCCTGTATCTCATCGATTAGCTCAGAATGTGTGACGAGTTTTGGGAGGGCGAGCGAGGAGGTAGATTGATAGAGAAGGTAAGTAAGTGGCAGCAGGGGACATTTATTGACAGTTTAAAGCAGCACTATGTGACCTTTTCTGTGTTCAAAATTTGCAAAATGTATATAATGAACGAGTACATCATGAATTCATCTTCCAAACCGCGTGACAAAGCTTCAAAAATGGCTCAAGCTCCTGCTGTTGCAACATTTCTCTCTGTCTGAGCTCCCACACCTCCTTTCCCTCCATACAGCTGTGCTTTCAGATGTAGATGAAGATTTGTAACAAAATTCTGTATGGCTCAGTCTAGTCGGCAGCTAAAAACAGAATAAGAGCAACAAAATTCATTCATTTAAATCCAACAATACATATACTGTCAAGCCAAAATGTATTCAGACACCTTTAACATTTCTCACATTATCACAGTTTATTCACTGTAGTTATAAAATATCACAAGAACTGTGTCAGAAAAATTTCATCTTGATAATATCAGATAATTTGATAGAAAGGTATGTAATGCATTAGGTTAAATAGCTGTCAGCTGTTAAATTTAAGTACGCAATTAGATAATACCAATTTAGTTTAACCAGTCACCAAGAAATGCTTAATTTAGTTTAATCGTAAAGTACGGTCGAAGTATGGGAGACTGTTGTGTTTTCTCGCGTGCTTGCCAATTAACGACTCCCACCTCCATGCCACCGAATGCAAAACATCTCGCAGACCTGACGTTTAACGCCTTTGCTCCTCCACTGTGGCTGAGATTCTCTGGGGTGTGTGTATGTTTAGATGGACTTGTAATTGCATGGGTTAATTTCACTGTATTATGGGTGTTTCTTTAACTACATGCACTTTTGACCCCGTGGACTCCCGTAAAACATGCTTTCATAATACACTAGTTTTAATTTGTCCACCAATTTAATGTGTCTGCTGCCAAGATATATCAGCATACACGTACATGTCATGCATCACCGAAGAATTCTAGCCTGATCTCAATAGTTACAAAAATGTAACAGTAGCAATTTTGTATGAATTTGTTTGATGTGATTTATATAGAAATATATGGTTTTTAGAAGAAAATTAGGCATGAGCCTAAACCTCAGTGCAGATTATACAAATACATATGCTACAAATTTACCTAAATGTTAAAGTGTTATGAATGTGTTATGAATTTGGCTTTTTTTTTTTCTCAGAACCAATGAATGTCATTTCCATCATATATCAAATTACCATTAACTCTGTGGAAGAAATGACATTTTACACATTTTTGAAATAATTGCATTCCATAAATTCAACGCATTTTATGTATGATCGGCTCAGATTGTGCATTTTGATTCTAAATATTCACAATTAAAGGGATAGTTCACCCAAAAATGAAAATTCTGACATCATTTACTCACCCTCACATTGTTTCAAACTTGTGTTTTTTTTTCTGAAAAAAAACAAACATTTGGCGGTAGCCATTGACTTGGAAAAAATAGCATTGAATTCAATGGTTATCATCAGCCTGTTTGTATAAAAAAGTATATATATATATATATATATATACACACACACACACACACTATGGAAGTCAATGGCAACCATCAATTGATTGTAATGAAATATTAAAATAAAAATATTGTAAATATTATAGCATGTGCAATAAAATATATATTTTATGAAAACTAAATAATTTTATAAATGTATTAGATACATTTAAAGATATATATAGATTAATAAAATAGAATTAGAAATATTTTGGTCTCAAATTATATTGTTTACCATGATTTTTATTATCTTTCATCCCACGCTTCCGCTTATGAAACTTCAATTCAGTTGAATCAATTGAAATAGTTGCTTTGCAAAATGATTCACTGTTTCGAAGCACTCAAAACTCCACACGATGATGACGCTTGTAAACTCAGCCTAAACATGCATAAAAACTATAACTCTTTATTTTTATTATACAAATGTGTCATTAAAAATGTCCACAAATGAAGACAGATAGATCGCCCCCTAGCAGCAAACCATTGAAATTTCCAAACAGTTATAATCCTGTTGACTGAAAACACGTGACTATATATGTGCTCTGAATCACTGCTTCGAAACAAATGATTCGCAAGTTTCAAAACTTTGCAAGGCAGTTTTTGTTTAGGGGCCGGTTCACACACAGGACTCTCATCTTCATGGTAAACAATTACATTAAAAATAATAGGCCTACTACAATTGTAATATATACAATTGTAAAAATGTATATAATTTTACACAGAATTGACCATGTTTTATTCAAGACATGTTTCCTAATTCTTCTCCATAGACCCAATGAAAAAAATGTTGGTCTTTCTTTTGAGCAGGAACTTTTCCTGTCGCTGTTCTCCTTCTGTGTCAATTTAAACTCACTTTTGTCTTCACTTCCTTCTCCCCTCATTATGTGCGGTCTTTCATCTCATCAGCTTCTCTCTTTTTCTTTTTCTCTCTTCAGAACCCTGACATTGTGCTGGTCCACTACCTGAACGTGCCCGCCATAGAGGATTGTGGGAAACCGTGCGGGCCCATCCTGTGCTCCATCAACACGGATAAGAAAGAGTGGGCCAAATGGACCAAGGAAGAACTCATCGGGCAGCTCAAACCCATGTGTGAGTCACAAACTACATGTCTACAAATACAGTATAATAGTATAATATGCCTGATATAGAAAAGCTATTCAGTTGGATCAAGTTAGTTTAGAGCAAAGACCATTAGTTATTTATTTGCTATATATTCATGGTCATTTCAGAGAAGATTCATCTGTATCTACAGTGGCCCCAAAAAGTATTTGGACACTTAATACATACTTAAAATATGAAAATATGAAACTGAATTCCATGACCATGGACAAAAAATATAAAAACAAGATAATGCAATGCATTGCATTATCTTGTTTTGATATTTTTGTCCAATGCAGTGTTAATTTTTTTAACAAATGTTAAAAATCATTAATTTTGTGGAAGAATGAACAATTTTAAATGTTGTTGTAATAATTCCATTAATTCCATCATTTTATAGCTAGCACTAAATATATGATTGGCTCAGATGCATTTTGCTTAATCTAAATATGCACAATTAAATACTATTTTTACACTTTTAAATTATTTCACAAAATGATACCTTTATTAAAAATAAATATTACACTATATTTATTTTGATATTAGAATGAGAATATATTTATTACATTTATTAAAATATATTTATTAAATCTTTGTGGACATGTTGTGTTTGTGCACTGTATTATGAATCAGTGTATCATTGAGGATCAGTGTTATTTTAGTATAATTGAGGTCATTTTAATTTTAAAGTTTTAGTTGTGTTGTTTTGCTGTGTTTGTCATTTTTTAATCAATTATTGTTATATATATATATATGATGTGGCCCATATTATATTATAATTATATATTATAATTATTATTTATAATTAATATTATTAATATAATATTGTGCAATAAAATATATTTTTTATTTAAAACATATATATATTAATAATATAAAAAGGTATAATAAAATATAATACAAATATTCTATATGCAAATTACATTTTTTTTTTACCTTGATTTAAAAAATCAAAATAATACTGTTTATTTATTTATTTAATGGCTGTATGTTCATGGTTATTTCAGAGAAGATTAATCTGTATCTACAGTGGCCTAAAAAAGTATTTGGATGCTTAAATTACACTTTAAAATCTGAATGTCATTGCAATAGATAATACAATATAAAAACATGCCATTTGTTTTCATATTTTATATCTAATGCAGTGGCATTCTGACATTTTAAAGTGTCAAAAAAATCCCTATTCTCTGGTCACCTGTGCCTTTAACTTTACAAAACCAGCTGACCATGTTTTACACTGTCAATGTTCACACATTGACACTCTCTGTACATTCACAGCAGTTATTTTTCTTGTAATATTAGAGTGACTTTTAAATCTGAACACATCAATGAGTCATTAACTTCATGATGTGGTGGTGCAGCGCTGAAAGGGCAGGAGAAGCTTCTCACATCATCATCCTCATCATCATCATCTCTTTGAATGACCTTCCGTGAGTGAAGCTCAGTGACGGTGCAGGACTGCCACCTTCTGCTGACAGGAGGAAATCACAGGGAAATCTGAGCTGGAACTTAAATTTTGGAGGTGGCTGACTGCTTTTTTTTTTTTTTTTAATGAAAACAGAACAAATAACAAACAGAGCATAGCATAAGACAATCAGTGCTATATAAAGTGTGACATTAATTAGTAACGGGAACTGAAAATAATGTCATAATATTTTAGACATGTTAATGACTTTTTGTTTTTTAACAATTTCAGAGACGATATAAAACAATCAGAGTTAAGCCAGAAGCCTTAGAGAAAATATTGATGAAAGAGATAGCACTGGGAATAAGAGATAAGCTCTTTAAAAATAAGTTTGTGTCATCCGCCAATTGTGATATTTTAATTTCATTACCAAAAATTTGGAGACCTTGAATTTGTTCATTATTAACAATCCCAATGGATAATAATTCAACTACCAACAAAAATAAAAAGGGGGAAATTGGACAACCTTGACGTACTCCACGGTTAATGTTAAATCTTTTAGAGGTGGAAGTGTTAAGTATTACAGAACTATTAATATCCTTGTAAAACATTTTAACTACATTCAAGAATGTATTTCCGAATCCAAAAAGCGTTATTTTAAATAAGAATTCATGTTCAATTGTATCGAATGCTTTATAAAAGTCCAGAAAGAAAATAACGGCTCCTTCATCAACATTCTCAGCATAATCCAAAAGGTCAAGCACAAGTCTAATATTGTTAGTTATATGTCGACCTTTTAAAAAACCTGATTGGTATTCACTAATCATTTTATTTAAACCTTCTCGTAATCTATTAGCAAATACTAAAGTAATTAATTTATAATCAATTGTTAGAAGAGAGATTGGTCTCCAATTTTCTATCAAGTGTGAATCTTTATCCGGTTTGGCAATTAACGAAATGATACCTTGTTTCATAGTAGTAGTCATTTCGCCACTGTTAATACATTCATTATACATATTATAAAGAGGAATTTCGATCAGTTCCCAAAAATGTAAGTAAAATTCTACTGTCAACCCATCTATACCTGGTGCTTTCCCTTTTTTCATTCTAATCAGGGCATCTTTGATCTCAGAAGAAGTTATATTGGATTCACAGAAGTCATGAAATTCTTTATCAATAATAGGAATATGTTGATGGACTATTTGAATGAACTCTTCACAATTATATAGATCAAATTTGGAATTATATAGTTCTTTATAAAAAGAGTAAACAAAGTCAGAAATTTGTTTTGGATCCATACAATGATTCCCATTAATGTTTAAAGCAGTTAAAGCATTTCTTTTAAAATGTATTTTCTCAAGTGCGAAAAAATAACTTACATTTTTTTCACCCTCTTCAAGCCATTTCGCCCTAGAACGAATAAAAGCACCTTTAGCCAAGTCTAAATAGATCAAGTCTAGATGGGATTGAATTGTGACCAATTCAGCTTCTTCCTCCTTAGTAAGAGGTGGCTGACTGCTGTCACCAGTCATGTATTTTGAATGACACAGGCTATTCAGATCAAATGTGGCCCTGATGTGACCCATATATGTACTGGGGCATAAAAGGGGCATTCTGGTTAGATGTGTGTAATTCAGGTCAAAAATATCTTAAAATGTCAGCAAAGCAATAGCAACACCGTTGATGTAATGCAAAAAAAAATTTTTTTTTTATTATTCTTATGTAAATTAAGCATTTTTAATTTGATTAATAATAAGAATAATTTACTGTCCAGAATATTTTGCTTTTGAGTGCAAATGTAATTATTCTCAACATCGTTATTGTAGTTAATTAAAACTGAAACCATAAAAAATAAATCTTTAACTGAAGTAAAATAACTAAAACAAATAAAAACTACATATAATTTAAAAAAAAAGTGATATAAAAAATGACAAACACAGAATAAAAATACAACTGAAACTTTAAAATTAAAACAAAAATGGAAATAAAAAATAAAAAATATCTTTAACTGAAGTTAAATAAATAAAAACTATATATATATATATATATATATATATATATATATATATTAAAAAACAATAATTGATAAAGAAAAATGATATCACAACTAAATCTTTAAAATTAAAAGAAAAATGGAAAATACTAAAATATGTTTAAAAAACTATAATATAACCTCAATTATACTAAAATAACACTGATTCTCAATCATTTTAATTAGGTTCATAATACAGTACACAAACACAACCTGTTCATAATACAGTACACAAAGACTTGATGAATTAAATGTGCATTCAGTAGAACAATTTAAAGAATATCTCTATCTATGTATTTATTTATTTACAGAATGAAAGTTTGCAGTTTAAAAGCATTTTTTGCTTTTAATATTGGTCTGAAATATGATCCGGACATATGCTTGACTGGTTTTGTGAGACTATATACACACACACACACACACACACACACACACACACA